TAATCGACAAATTGGAAAAACCTAAACATGATTTAGTTTGAATAGTTTAGTTGGTGTGAATGGCGTATAATATTCAGAACGTACCAAGAAACGCTTGTAAACGTTTCCTTTTGCTATCATTCGTAGTAATTCAAGTCTTACCCGGAAAATAATATTTATTCAGAGTGAAAATGTTTCCATTTTTTCTTCTCTTACCTTTCACCTCTAGTCGAACGGAATCCGATAGTGAATTTCTGTATGGACCAAAGTTTAAAACAAGCCCATAATCCATTTGATCTTTTGCATTAACTTGGGAAATTTGGAAAGCTGCAAGGGACTTTGATAAGTCTCCTCTCCATTGCACGCGGCCTTCTAAATGCGGTGCCTCGTCCTTTAGGCCTGGGTTTAAAATGATACGCCTCGCCTTTGTCACTGTAGTTAAGTAGGTTGCTAGGTAACCGTTCTTCCAAAGTCCAAAGACCAGTCCTTGAAAATCAGGCCGAGATGTTAAATCTTTACTTAGAACCCACTGAAACACGGCATCAGACCCTTCAAATGCTCTGACTGGGTCTGAAGATACCCGGATAATCTGGGCGTCATAACCTATAATTGATAAGTGCAACGGTCAAATGGTGCAACATTGTGTTCACTTTACATTTATGGCCCCGGCTCGTCGAGTTAGAAATAGTACCGACTTATGAAGTCCTTCGCCAACAATACAANTCAGACCCTTCAAATGCTCTGACTGGGTCTGAAGATACCCGGATAATTTGGGCGTCATAACCTATAATTGATAAGTGCAACGGTTAAATGGTGCAACATTGTGTTCACTATACATTTATGACCCTTGCTTGTCAAGTTAGAAATAGTAACGACTTATGAAGTCTTTCGCCAACAATACAAGATAAATGGCATTTTTGTTGATATCAAGCAGAGTTTACCCAAACCGTTTCATATAAAGTGATGTTAATCAATGTTTCTTTTCGCGGATTTTCCTGCTTGACATTGATGAATGCAACTCCTTGATGGAAAATTTACATGCAACGGCCAGACACGTGTGGCATTATATATGGCAAGTTTTGACTAAATTTGAACGTAATACATCAATTGACTTGTCCTACTAATATTCCTGACGTCGTTCTTCATAACCAATAATTATTATTAGAACGTACGAGAGGAAAACGTTCCCTTTCAGTGACAAAGTTTAAATTTCGGCACACCGAAATAGTGAATTGTAAATTTTATTTAAATTTCTAAATTTTTTTTTATTGTTCAGTTTTTAGCGTTTCATTAAGTGTCCCCAATTAGCTCTTAGCTTAAGGCTGGTTTCCATATGATCGCAGACGATCGCAGACGATCGCAGACGATCGCGGATCGCAAATCGCAGATCGCAGACGA